TTTAGCATCCCCTCCAATCACGATCTCAATCGTTAGGCATAATATGACTTTCTTTTACGGCAGCCAACTGTTAGCTCTCCGGAACGATGTCCATCCGTTACTGTGGACTCAGCGGGCGTGCCACTGTCTGTTTTTTCTTTTCTTGCCTTTTGTATTGCGGCACAATAGCTGAGGTGTTTTCCGCCTCCAACTAACGTGTAATGATGATGATGATGATGTGGAAGTGTGGCATTATCACCCCAATTTTTAAAGGCGGTAGCCGTTCAGATCCTGCAAACTATCGCCCGGTGACTCTCCTGCCTGTGCTCGCGAATATGATGGAAGCGGTCATCGTTGAGGCTCTAATGGACCACCTGGATAAATACATCTTGGCAACGGAGCAGCATGGCTTCTGTCAACACCGGTCATGCACCATCAACCTACTGATTGCACGAGGCAGTTGGACGGAAGTGGCTGATGATGGGGTCGGAGTTGACGTCATCTATCTGGACTTCTCCAAAGCTTTTGACTGCGTGGATCACCGGCTACAGAGCTACGGAATCGGCGATCCTGTGCTTGGTTGGATTGGCAACTTTCTTCACGAATAGAAGCAAGTACGCGTTAGGGGATCACACTCTAACGCAATTGAGGTAGAATGTGATGTTCCACAATGTTCCTTGCTGGGACCGCGCTTATTCCTGGTGTTTATCAACGACCTGGCAAGAATTATCCCCTCAAATTTTCTGCTTTTCGCCAATATGGCTGGCGATTAGTAACAATGAAGCTCAAGATATACTCCAACGTGACCAAGATTGCATTTATAAATGCTCAAAGAGGAACATGCTTCAACTGAAAATAGCTAAATGCAAGGTGATCCACCTGCATCACCAGCCGGTGAGCGGTTTCAAGCTTGGAGACCACAACTTGGAGAAGGCCTCTCAGGAGCGTGACCTGGGTGTATTGGTACAGGAAGATCTCGGGTATTCAAAACAAGCAGGGAAGGCGACGAGAACCGGCAATCAACACTTCGGCCTTCTTCACAGTGCCTTCGGTCGGTTTGAACCCACAATCTTTCCCAAAATGCTTAACGCCTAACTGCGACCGCACGTGGAATATGCTATTCAGGCGTGGCAGCCGTGGCAGAAACAGGATCTCGTTGCTCTCGAGACTCCTCAACGAAGGGCAACCAAGAAAGTCAGGAGCCTCTTTCATCTGCCCTATCAGCTTAGACTGAAATCTCTAAGAATGTACAGCAGTCGAGATTAGCTTTTGCTGCGGGATCTCATAATGGTTTACCAGATTCTGAAGAACCCAAACCACAATTGCCGTTCGCTGTTGAAATTGAACCACAACACTAACCTAAGAGGTTATTCTCGGAAACTGACAATACGATATAGCTGGCATAAATGCCGTAGAAATTACTTTTCTCTCCGCGTGTGCCAGCCTTGGAACGCCCTCCCTCATTATGTCGTTTCTGCTCCCAAGCTGGCGATATTCACAAATACGAGTTGACGATGCGTTGTCCTATTTGCATTTTATTTTGTGAATTGTTAGCCAGGGGCTATAAAATGCAATCAAACGGTGTCTTACCAAACTTCTAACCAATGGATTTATGGATTTATACTTTTAATGCGTGAACATCTCCGCTATTCTACATAAGTCTATGGTGAGTCCACCAAAACGCTCTTCACTTCATCATGCAATTTACTTCGCAATAATTGCCATCTTGCGGGCCTCGATAAACGTTGCTTTTTACCTCTAATACACCATTGTTCCAGTGTTCAATCACTTAGCCTCCTCTGCGGATATTTGCATCCGGGATAAAAGGTTTACAGGGAGGTCATTGATGTAGCCTAAAACAGAATTGGGTGTGAGACAGATGCTTACTGCACACCACTGGAGGCGCACAGGCTTCCGGAATGAGTGTCAGCTGTTCTTACCTTTCTTGTACTCTCCTGTAGGTAATCTTCCGACCAGGTAAGCTTGAAACTACCAAGCCTACGTAAGACTACTAAGTGATTGACTCTGTCAAATGCCTTCGCAAATTCAAGTAGATTACATCTAGGGCCACTCATTCTTTAGCCGCTCTAGTCCATGAAGCCTGAGCAAAAAGCAAATCGAAGGGAGAAGTCCGTATGTGTCTGCAACCATATTGGATATGGAAAATGATTTGCAGGCTTTCTAAATGCTTCATCATTTCATCTGCGATTATCGGCGCCATCTCTTTTGATAAAACTGGTATATGAGTAATCGGTAGGTAGTTCGCATGGTCCAGTCGCTTACGTCCTGTGTATATTGTATTGATAATTCCATTTTTCCATTCAGATGGGAGTGTATGTGAATCAAGGAGACCCTGGAAAAATGCTGCAAGATCTGCTGCTATGGTTTCGGTGAAAGTTTTAAGTACCTTTGGACAGATGGTGTAGATTCCCGAGACACTGTTCCGCAGAGACTGCAGTTTGCTTTTGCCAGCTGCTGTGATAAATGTGACGCTAGATAAACCGAGAGAAGCGTCTACGACTTTTGCAGTTACGGAACCAAACTACAGCAGTAGGGTGTTCGCAGTATTCACAGCAGTAGTCGCCAGGCCACCGTCCGTCTTTGGTGGTAGTACGCTTGTAGCAACCTTGCTGGTTCATTCACATAATAGCAAGCTGTTCGGTGTTGCTCCTGAACTTGAGCACCATGGTCTCCTGTCATTCATGCTCGTCGGGTCTGATGAAGGATCGATGTGTACCACTTAGTCCAGCACAAGGTGCCTCCGAATCTCGTCTCTACTATTTATCCATTTACGCGTTCTGCTTCGGATCCAGTTTTTGGTCCGGTGCGATACTCGTATTGGTACGACCTTTTAGGCGGTTCGTCTGGCCCAGCTTATTTTGTCTTTTAATTCATTCCACATGTTCTTCGCCGAACAATGCAGCTTGAGACGTTGCTCACTGCTTGCAGTTGGGCTGGGAAACTTGGTATGGTCAGCAATAGTACGTCGGTTTGCCGTTTCTTAATTAACAATACTAGCCTTTCATACAGCCAACCGCATATCAGACGAGTATAGAGAATGAGATGGTATTAGTTGATTTGGGCGTAGTCACGTAACGATCGGTACGCGTTTAGTGACGTTTGCGCCCGTTGGATGCCATTTTGCAACAGTAAGGATCATCTTGGGAGATATAGGGAGGAATGTGATTACCTTAAGGTATTTGTAAGTGTTTTTGGCGCAATTGACTGTGGCCAGTTAGAGAGGCTCCGCCGACAAATTTTGCCAATCTACGAGGGTTGCTCAAAAAGCAACCGAACCTTTGCTCTAACACCTTTATTGCTAATTGAAGAAGATTTTATGCACTTCCCCTCTCAAAGTAGTCTCATGTCCTGGCAATACACCATTCACAACGGTGATTCCAGTTTTGGAAAATCTCCTGGAACTCACTTTCTGGGATGGCGCGCAGATCTTGTTGTATTTTCCTGAATCTCCTCCATGGTTTGAAACAACGTCCTTTCAAACTGCTTTTAAGTTTGGGAAACCAGAAAAGTTTGCAGGGGCTAGGTCCGGAGAATACGGTGACTGGGACCCAACGGGAGTGTCGTTTTGCTAGATAGCTGCGGACAAGGAGCGATGCATGAGCCGGCACATTTTCATTATGCGACATCCAAGTCTGGTTTTCCCGCAGTTCAGGCCTCTTCCTGCGCACGGCATCCCTCAAACGCGCTGGAATTTCATGGTATGCTCCAACGCTGATGCCCACTTCGTCAGCAAATTCTCGAACAGTTAAATGACGATTTCCAAGGATCACAGCAAGTACTCTCTCGCTATGATCATCATCTGTTGATGTGCAAGGTCGTCCAGCTTTAGGGTCGTCACTGACCAACATTGTACCGTGTTCAAAACGGTTAAAACACTCATAGCACTGCGTGTGTTTTATACAGTCCTTCCCTTATGCTTGGCCAAGCAATTGTAATGTCACTGCAAAAGTTTTGCAGTTTGCAGCAAAATTTCACACATGCTTGGTTCTCCAAGCTCTTTCATTGTCACTTTGGCACTAATCCGACAAACAGCTTGTGCACGTGCTCACTTTAGCGGCTGTAGCTCTTCAACCAACAGTCAGAGCGAAATTCGGCAAATGGCAATCTGTTGTCTAAGCAATCCACCCCATGCGCTCAGTAGCCGCAGCGCGCTCCCTCAGCCAGTTGCCGCGCTATTTCAAAACTTCGGGTTCTAGTTGAACACCACTAGTGTGACTCGATGTTCGTAGGTACTTTTAGGACACATTAGCCGCAACGTTTTGAGCTGCGTCAGTTATCTAACCTTATCTGCTGGAACTGTCGCTGTGCCAGCGGGTTTGGTACTGGTGCGTCCCTCAGCGCGCGGGTGGACCATAGTACACAATCTTTATTTAGTAATCTGCACGAAAGAATGCAGTGTTAAATGTTGGACGACAAAATGGATTGCATCTATAATGCACAGTGGTGCACAGTACTGACTTATATTTTGTCTGGGAACTATACACCAGCTTTGTCGAATGGTATTTCGAAGTCCCTGAGGGAAAGCAAAAAATGTAAGGTTGCACGCATAGGTGTTGGCGAGTGAAATGCCAAAGACGTCACTTGTGGTGTACTAGCGTGTCTTCTGACTTATCCCCTATAGATAGGTCCGATTTATAATTCGGTGATCCGGATCGACTGGGTGTATTTCCGCAGATTTGGAACAAAATTTAAGCGGATACATCAAGGTTAACAAGGATCACATAATTATGTGGTCGGCTGTAATGACGTATACTGCCACGGAGTGGCAGCATGATGGAGACAGCGACAATCTGCAAATGCTATGATTTCATGAAACAATGTGTCAGACTGTTCATATACCTGGCTGAGAATAGAGAATATACTGAACTGCTTAACTTTGTAGAAACCGCTTTGCACGATTCAAGGAGTGCAAGTTAGACTGAATAAAGTTCAGACATCAATTTAATACGGTTGCTGACATTTGAGATTTTATACAAATATCCATTTGATACTGTATTTAGGTCAACTCAGCTCACCCTCAGAAGCGGTTGGCCCCCAAGGACCTCGGGGTGACCCCGGCCCCTCCGGTCCGGAAGGTGGTGTCGGGCCCCCAGGCCCCCGCGGACCGAAGGGACTACCAGGGAACGACGGCGAACGTGGACCTGCTGGCCCACAAGGCACACCGGGAACCCCAGGCAGGGATGGTCGGCCAGGTATACCAGGGTTACAAGGATCGCCGGGACCGCAAGGCATCACTGGACCACCAGGAGAACCGGGTCCTGAGGGGAGCCCGGGGCCTCAAGGTTACATGGGTCCACCAGGTGACAAAGGGGACGACGGATACGAAGGTTTGAAGGTGAGCACACGAACGGACATATCTTGTTCTTGTACTACACATAGCCCTCTGTTTGGTACTCACCGACGTTACTGCTCCTAAGGCAAGCATATATTACCATAAGTAGGATAAGAGTATGGACGGTTAATTTAATGACGAACATCACTTTTCACCTTAATTTTTCTCTGATTCGAGAAGTTGTATTGGCCATGATTAGTAAGACTTCAGTGTATTGACTTAGGGCAATTGATAAAAGGATTACGCAGATGCACATACAATGTGGCTGTCCCGTTGGGGCACTAAGCGTTGCTTTTTATCGACAATTATAGTACACACACTAACCTTTGGTCTTTTAGGGTTCACAAGGAAGTATGGGTCCACAAGGTCCACAAGGGCCAGTTGGTCCCATCGGGCCGCCTGGACCTATGGGTCCAGCTGGTCCAGAGGGGCCTCGAGGAGAAACCGGTCCGGTTGGCCGGGTTGGGCTGATTGGTATACAGGGACCGCCTGGGCCTCCGGGTCTACCTGGAATGCCCGGATCGTTTGGACAGAAGGGCGACCGAGGTGAAGCTGGCCGGAAAGGTACAAAAGGCTCCAAAGGTCCGGTTGGAAGAGCTGGAAAACCTGGTCCTCCAGGGCATCCCGGACCACAAGTAAGTAGACCACTTCATTCCATTTGCATTGTCCTAATTATGATAATGGATGCTACATGGTATTCGATGTCATCTGCGCTGTAATATCTCCGTGGGACGCGAACTGTTGACGAGTTTGTAAAGGCGAGGCAACTATGTTTTGCGTTTCGGATTTTGCTGGTTGTACGATTGGTTAGAGCTACGCTGAATTTAATCACACGAAGATGAATGTCTGAAACATGCTGACTACTGCAAACTCTAATATGCCAAGTCCATGGTGATGCAGTTTAATAAACTTCAAACAAACAGCGTGAGAGGCTCGGTGAACAAATACCTGTTATGATGGTACTTGCTCGTCTTTTCAGCTCAGAAGAACAGATCAAAACCTGAACAGACAATCCGAGCTACAGGTGTTTCGATTTATTGCTCGTCCTCGTCAAAGGAGTCAGAACGACAAAGCTAGGGGCCGTTTGTTATCGACTGATCACCGACAATTTGGTAGTACTATGGAACAATGGTGCGATACGAGTAAAAACAACGCGTAACAAGTCCCGCTGGGTGGAGATTACTGAGAAAATAAAAATGAGTAATAGTGAAAATTGTTTTGCTAAACGCACTATGATAATGGCGTTGAAACAAGCGTACAAGAGCCGAGACATTTGAGTGATAAAATATAAATCCATAAATCCACTGGTTGGAATTCTGAAAACACACCATTTGGTTGCGTTATATAACCCCTTGGCTAAGTCAAATCATAAAATGAAATGCCAATGGTACAATGCTTCGTCCACGATTTTTTAAATATCGTAAGCTTAGGGGCAGAGTCGATATAAGTTGGAATAGCGTTCTACAGCTGACACACTCGGAGGAAGAAGAAATTTCGACGGCATCTCAGCCGGCTACACCGTATTGTTAATTTCCAAGGATGACCATTTAGTTTATGGTATGGTTCAATCCCAGGAGCGGGCGGATAATCTGTCTTGGGTTCTCCAGAATCTGACAAGCCATTACGAGGTTCTTCGCAAACGCCGTTACCGGCTACGATACGTTTATAGGGAATTCAACCTAAAATGCTACGGCAGATGGAAGAGATTGCTAAATTTCTTGGATGCCCTTCGTTGAGAAGTCTGCAGAGCAGCAAGATCTCGTTTCTGCCACAAATGCCACGCAGAGATGTCGTATTTCACTTGCGGTCACAGATCAGCGTTAAGCATTTAAAGGAAGATTGAGGAGCCAAGTCGAAGGAAAGCGTGCGAAGAAGACCAAAATGGATTATCAGTTATAGACGCCTTCTCTGATTGTATCGAACATTCGAGATCGCCTTGTACTCGTTCACTCAGATCACACTCCTGTTAGTCTTTTTCAAGAAGTAGTCATTTAGCTTGTAAACGCTCACTGGGTGGTGAGGCCGATGGACTATCATGCATTTAGCTGTGTTTAAGTGCATTAGGTTCCCCGTCAACCATTAATTAACGCGTTCCAGCTGGTGTTGGAGGAAATCGTGTGCTTCCTCATTATTAACCGCTCTCCGTACTTCAAGCCCATCGGTGAGAAGCGGAAAACCGGAGAAGATAACACTTATCATGTCATTGGTGAACGTTTGGAAGAAGCGTGATCCCAGCACCCAGCACTATGGATCACCACATTCTACCTCAGTCGGGTTGGAGAGCGCTTTCCTAACACACACTAAAATCGCCCGTTGTTGAAGTTTGCTTATAATCCAACCAAGGACAGGATCTTTGAGTACACAGCTCTGTAACCTGTGATGCAGGATTCAGTGGTCCAGACAGTCGAAAGTTTTGGAGTAGCCCAGGTGGATGACGTCGACTCCGACCCCATCATCATCCACCTCCGTCCAACTACCTCATGCCATCAACAGGTCAGTGGTGCATGATCGGTTTTGACCGAAGCCATGCTGCTTCGGTGCCGTTGCATTTTTCAGGTAATCCACTAGAGCCTCAGCAGCGACAGCCACCATCACCGGTAGCATAGGGAGGAGAGTCACTTTGTGATTATAACGGCTACCGCCTTTAAAATTGTGGTAATAATACCATGCTTCTACCTAGTGGAGACTTATTGTTTATCGAAGCATCTTTGAAAGAAACCGCAACAGGGGTTCCGCTAGTTTAGTAGCGACAGCCTTCAGTACTTTTGAGCGGATCTATAACCACTCCATGAGAGCAGCCTCCCTAGCACAGTTGCGGGATTAGCATTAAATGTGTAAACCCTGGAGTTGGTAAAGCGGTTGTTGTCATGTGACAGGGACAGGCTGCGAGTTCGTAAATCAGGGCGTATATAAGCCTCAGTGCATTTGCTGCTTTGTCTGCGCTTTTGTATCTTACGGTCTGTTGTGAAAAGTTGAGGGCTGCATCTCTCTACTTTAGGAAGACTGTGGACAGGCGTATCTAGTAGTCTGTTGTATGCCAGCAACCCTTGAGCTAGGCACTGTTAAAAAGTTACTTTGTCCTCACGGGCAAGTTTGGTGCAACGGTTGTCTCAGGCCTCAGTTTGGGTTAGCCTTGTAAGCATGTATACTGCATCCTTTCCTGCCCTCCAATTTAGTCCTGTTTCGTAGAAGTAACGACACCTTCGCGGAACGAAGTGGCTTGGTTTCCGATGCTCTGTTGACCATGTCGCTGAGTCCTTCAAAGAAGGTTGTCCAAACGCTGTCAAGAGGATTGTTGCTCGACGAATTTTTTCAAGGCGTGGTGGCAGGTGATTGTATGAGTTATTTCCGCGTGTTCACATGTATATTCTGCATAACAAGCATGGTCAAATGTTTTGACTACATGGCGCTGAGCCCTAATGGACTCCCCACCATGAACTTGTCGGTCATGAGCTCATTTGTGAGCGCAAGTTGCATTTGCTCTCCTGAATCTAGTAGACGAGGTACCGTGACTGTACAAGGGAATATTAGTGACATGCTCATGAAAGTGTGCTATGAACTGTTCACTGAAAAATGCTAATACCTCCAGATCATGTACGTTGAAGTCACTGGCGATGAGAATGTGGCAGTACCTAGGGGGTGTTACCCTGTTCAAGGCACATATCAAGCTTGAATCCATTTACGGAGTGGACGTTGGGGGGGGGGCGGTAAACGACAGCTAGGAGATTTGCATCGTTTTGTTTTAGTTGGAGATGGTACCAGAGTGAGTAGATAACATGTTTCCGGACCAACAACTATTGCACATTGCATGTCACTGCAATCGCGGTAATCACTACGCACGTGAGCGATTACCATTCTGTAACATGGCATGGTCAATCAGCGGGACCGATGAGTTTCTGATTTCCGCCAGAAACACCCCAGCAAGGAAAACCAATTCCGAATAGTCCAACGGAACATGGCATCTCATATAAATGGCATGTTGTTCTGGTAATGGCAAGATTTTTGGTGGCGGCTTAGACATTTTCTTGATGTTTGGGTGACCACTCGGTATTTTTTCTCTTCCACGCTTTAAGTATCCGGTTTTGGTTGTCTGGATCACTGCTCCCATTTTGTCAGGTGGACAATGATTCCGCTAGGTTCCGTCATACCAAATGCATCCGGGTTTCCAATGTGTATGAACCATATTTTTAAAAACCGCAAGGCATGTGGATAATATGCACGTTGTCAAAGTCACAGTGCCGAATCTGAGTTATCCGCAGCGCGTTTTGTGTTTTCATGCCTTGCTTACTCCGAATCCCAAGGTAACTTCCGGAGAAAGCACAGTTGTTGATTTTCACAGAAAAGGTCAACAATGGTGGGCTAAGCTAGAGTATAAGGAACCACGTAAAAGGGGTTTCTTCGCCCTGCTAAGTGTTCACACCGTAAACTGCATTGTACACCCGATTTGGTCTATGTGTAACGATTGGATTCAAAAAGTTAGACGTACCAAGGTCATGGATGAGTCCCTGATTCGCGTTCTTCGTTGCTCTTTGCTTACTTTATTCAGACAATCGATGCGTTCTTCTGTAGGTAACTGAAGAAGCTGTAACTGGCGGAGCTGGTATGCTGAATTGCATCAATTTCAGCTTAGATATCTAAGATTAGATGAGAAGGAATGTGCAGGCAAGCATGGTAAGTAGAGGAATATCTGTTAATTTTCGGATTTTCTAGCACCCAACGCATGTCTTCGTAGAATATCATGTAGGGTCATGGTTTAGTTCGAAATAAAACTTATCCCTCCCGATCATTGGAACCAGAGTCAATTACTATGTGCCGGGTTCCGCCGGGTTCCGCTCAGGAACCGGAAAAAGAGCGAAATTGATCGTAGAGTGCAGTGCTGGGACAAAGCAAAAGAAATATCCATCTCCAAGTTCGGGTTGGCACATGAGCAATTCTCAGTTGTTTTCTAACACATAACGTAGGTTTTCTGTGTGTATCGTTACAGTTTCGACGAATTCAATGAGATATAAACACGAAAGTTGTTGAAGCAGCTAGCCAACAAAAATACTGAATTTAGCACTTATGGGTACTGGACTTTGTGGGGCTGCGCCCACACGACACCTACCTTATCAGTCGATAAATCAGCATCACATGATATTCCTACCAAGTAAGTGAAATCTTTGGTTTATGAGTACAGGTGGCAACAGTGGTAAGGTCAGTAAAGGACCACTTTGTCATCGAGGCTTGCGGCTGCTGCATTCAATGCGGTGTGGGTGCTTTCCGACAGAAAATTATCTTCCATGACACTAGGGCTTAGTCTTTGATGTCAAAATTCACAGCACGCACTAGAGAATTGTGTAAATAGCTAGCCCATATCCTACCTAATGGAACTGGGCAATAGGATACTCGCAACTACGGAGGAAGCATCCCCGCGATCATGTAATTACGTTTCAATTGGACAGTTCTGATTGGAGGGTCATTCTGAAATGCGCGCTATGTGAATGGATTGCGATGCGCAGTTCCAGTGTGGACGATGATTCTCACTGAATGGAAGCTTGACCAAAGCAATCACTATGACCGGAGCTGAAGCTTATGAAAATTGGGTGTTACTCGCCCGAGAACCCCATACTCCATTGTGCCTTTCAACATTGCTTGATATCATCAGGTAGAGATAGCAGGCGTCGAACCCAGTACATCTGGGATGTTAATAGACGTCCCAACTAACATCCCAACAGTCCCGGGTTCGAAGCCTGATATATCTACCTGCTGAAATCAAACCAAGTTGAAACGCCTGGGGAACTGCACTTGGCAGTACTGATTTGCAACATGAGTCGGCTTTGAACTTTACCAAGTTTACAAAATTTTGTGTTTCACCAAAAATATATTCTGAGCCTAAGTGGTTACTTCTTATCAGCACTCCACCAAGCCCTTCCGAGAGGACCAGTAGCGTGACCAGTACCGAAAACTTGCAGGGCCAATAACCCATAGATTTGTACTGGACTATCTTTGTTGTCATTAAATAAGCGCTAATTCTCAACCGACGCTATCCATTTGTTTCAGGGCGACCCCGGTCACGACGGACGACCTGGTGCTCGAGGCGAACCCGGAGAGCGAGGGCCCCCCGGCCCTGCTGGAGCAGATGGAAGACCAGGGGAGCGTGGTGCAATGGGTCGCATGGGAGCGCAGGGTACTAAAGGAGCACAGGGGGAACCTGGATCGATGGGCAACGTGGGCCCGGTGGGTGTAATGGGAATAAAGGGTGAAAAGGGACAAATCGGACGACCAGGTAGCCAGGGAGAAATGGGCATCCGTGGCTTGCCTGGACCAATGGGTCCAGTCGGTGTCAAGGTGAGCAAACCAGTTTCGAGGGGAATTTTGGCTTATAACTTTACTCACTGAGCACATGTCCCGCTCACGCTCTAGTGACAACTGCTTCCTCCTTTCCTCTCAACAGACGACGTGTTCTCATACTTGAGGCGTATCGACAAGGCTGATTCCGTCCACCTAGTTTAAGGTACTTTTGACTCTGATGTGTTCCGCAACGTAGTGATCTTTACCTTCATTTCGACTTTCTGTACTAGTATATATATATATATATATATATATATATATATATATATATATATATATATATATATATATATATATATATATATATATATATAAAGGAGCATCGAAAACGGATAAGCTGCTTCCTGGTGATCGGATACTCTCCCGTGATCTCGCTACACAATAAAAGTAGTTTAGTTGCGAAATTGTTCAAACCGAACCATTTAATGTGCTGGTACTTAATGTTTTAGGGAGCACGAGGAGAATTGGGACCGGCTGGCAGTCCTGGAAGCCCTGGTTTGGACGGTCAGCCAGGCACCGATGGGCAACCAGGTGAAGCGGGGTCACCTGGAGAACAGGGTCTTACCGGACCACACGGTCCACCTGGGCGACCCGGTCTGGATGGGAGTGCTGGACCGAGAGGAGACACTGGACAACCCGGTCTCAATGGTCTGCCAGGCCTGAAGGGTGCCACCGGCCCACCTGGACAACCTGGCCTACCAGGAATGCACGGAAGTGCAGGTATCACTGGGCCAATGGGACCCATGGGACAAGTCGGGCCTAGAGGACCCATGGTAAGTCGTTTAGACCTTCCAGATTTTATCAGTTCAGTGCTCGTAACATTTCTCGGGGAAAAGTAACCACTGCATAACCAGCAGCTGGCCAATTGGTTGGATACTAGTGTGTACCCGAAATTTTCAGTCTCATGCGCTATGACTCAAACTTGGCAATCACGAATTTTCTGCTGTAAGGACCCGCATTATTCTTGTAGCATCTATGAAGTGGTCACGAAGACCTAACTTTAGTGGACCAGGCAGCATAACGGCAAGTCATTTTATCGTGAATAAAAATGCCAATTTCATGCCATTTCAGTTGGAGCAATTTGGTTGGGTCACCAGCGAAAAACGCTGCTTTCTGCGCGATAGAACATATAATATCTGTCAGCTACCCCTTCCAGCATAGCCAAATATGTATGGGAGCTAACCGTGTCCACCCACACAGGTGTGCTGGTTTTTCTGTTTGATGACGTCTTGGGCAATCTGACTTATCCAGGAGAAAAACGAAGAGAAACAATACCTAGAGAGGCTATACCACTATGATGATTGACGCCGATAACCCATCTCACTAGTAGTGTTGTTACGGTTTAAGAACGATCGATACTGACAGCTGTACACGGTCTAGACCTGATCTGCTATTGCAATTTAGCCATCAGTAGTGGAGTGGATGATGTAGCAAAAGTGAAAGCATCTCAAAAATGTTAATTGATGAACCTAACAGAATACTTTTCCAGGCAAATAACTGACTCCACTCCATAACGACACAGATCTAGAAGATAAACAGGAACGGCGTCCACTTCTCTTTATTTTAAAGGGACCTCCTGGAACAGTTGGAGAGAAGGGATCCAAAGGAATCGCGGGAGAGATTGGATATCCAGGTGATATGGGCGACGCTGGGGACGCTGGACCAGACGGATCCGATGGTCCCGATGGCCCTGCCGGAGCGACAGGACCACCAGGACCTCCGGGAGCTATTGGTGATCAAGGTTTGGAGGGCCCACCAGGAATCACTGGGCCACCTGGCCCCCCAGGATATGACGGTCCTCCGGGTCTGGATGGTAAAGATGGTGCACCTGGAAGGGACGGCAAGCCGGGGACACCAGGTGAACCAGGTAGCCCAGGGAAGCCCGGGTTACCAGGACGAATTGGCCAACGTGGACTTCCTGGAGTGCAGGGACCGAGGGGAATCAAAGGTGACACAGGAATAATGGGCCCACCAGGACTCTACGTAGGTTCCTCTTATCACGATGAACTGCTATATACAAACATCTATCGAATCACCAACTTTGCTCTTGCCCTTCCCTGTGACAGCTTGATATCTTTCTCGTGAGAATTTGACGACCTGGCGGGATTTAAGGTTTTCACTAGTGCAAGCTCTTGGTAATACTAAAGACCATTTTAGCAATGCACCAACTTCGCTAAAGGTCCTTAAGCGGATGAGCTTTCAAAAAGACATAACTCATGTTTTGGTGGCATGCTGGCCATCTGTAGTTACCACAGCTCTTCATTCAAACCATCTAGTTTGCATCTTTTTGACATCACTTTGTATTCCCAGTCATCTGATCAGCAGATCCCTGTTCGGTGGAATGTTACTGTAATAGAAGTGTGTTACTTGCAATAATCTATATTTACAGGGTACAATTGGAGCTGCTGGTACTCCTGGTGACCCAGGAAAGCAGGGGCGACCTGGCGGACCTGGAGATCCTGGACACCCGGGAGCGACTGGTAGCAAAGGAAGGGCGGTAAGTACCGTTTTTGTACATTGCAAGCCAAAATAAGTTATCACGTTCCGAACAATCACAGTATTAGGACGATACTTGCCTCAGGGTAGTGAACTGAGAGTTCGAGTTCTCGAACGCATTCGATATGTGCCAGCTAACAGGAGATAAACTCAAACAGTCGTTCTATTGCTTTTCTTTGAGAGCGTAGTTTGCTAATTGCATGGCACTACACCACTCACACACAAAGTGTACGCATGTGGGATATCATAAATTCACAAAACTAAACTGCATGTGTTAAAGTCTACGTGTGCGAGACTGGCGCAATCCTGTAAATGCAATAATGGCTGGTAGACAAATCGATGCAAAGACAACAGTATACCCAAGCTGGCAGCACGCAACATAGATGCAATAAATTAGTTAAGACCAAGTCACTAAAATGTTGCTAATTTATTGCACCCCTAATGCAATCGTTTTCATCCGTAAGCGGAAAATACATATTTCGATAGTCACCGAAATTGCTTCGAGGGCGGATGCACCGAGTGGTCAACATCTACCAGCTAATAGCATTCGGACAATATACCAGCGTCGCTGCTTAACCTAGACCTAGCTGCGGCGCAGACCAATCGCGCTATGCGAGGGTGGCACAAATTGGTTACACTGACGCTAGGACCCACGCAAGGTAGGAGACACCTTCGTGATCAAACACAAATGAGCGGTAGTTGAGGGCCTTCTACACGGATCTCAGCCATCCGCTCGTCCAAGGGTTCAATGTGTCAGCGCAATATCGTTGGATGTTTGCGTGTGTAGAAGCACGTTCTGGTTCACTGACTGGTCCAGACCAACAAGGAAAGTGGGACAAACCTGAAACGTATACTGGAGGTACTCAAGCCCCTTGGGAATGGAGGCCAAACGGTCTAATAAAGGGCGCTTGAGCAAGCAAACGTGACATCAATTTGAGACGAGGGTACAGGTGAGGCACGGAGGACCGCAGTGAATAGTGTTGACTTAATATTCCAAAAATGCTCTTTACAAGGGGCAGATCGGTTACACTATTTTGATTCCAACAGACTATTTCGACCGGACTCTCCCTCACTTAGAGGCGCATTGCAAGCGGCCGTTTAATCTCAGAGCCAAATTACCACTAGGACAAAGACGGGCACGCTATACAGCGCAGCGTAATGCTTACACTGTGCTCAACCAAACATTTACTTCACATTGGTGTCGGTTCCTCAGGTATACAGGGAGTTTTCTTAATCAAGTTCGGAGCTAGGAGCAGCTGCACTCGGGTGCTGACGTACACCCGTACACTGAATTGCTTACTGTCCAATGGCACAACTTGCTCTGCCGGCAGGGGTGAGATGGGACACAGAGACGCGACATGTGTGCTTACGATCGCAGGACACACCGAGCCGTTCGGCTGCGAGAGAGAAACGTTAACAAACACCACAGCCGCAATCGACCTGTCATGCGTGGATCGCAGGGCAAAACCAACGGAACGCACACTCTTCGGATGTGAGAACTGGACATGAGCCAGACACCCCAGCCGCACTGAACGTGTCATGCTGAGACCGATCGGTAATCGGCCTTTACCTAGGTGAAAATGCAGCAAAAGTGTTCCCCGTGAATTGGCTAGTGTCTCACTCTGCTAACTACCGAGAAAAACAGCCTAGCCGTATGTGATGGCCGGTCGATGGGCGCCGTAGTGCCATCGCCACAAAAGCTGTCATCGCCTCATGAGTGGCTGCCAACAAACCCGTAAACTTTCATTAGGCTGTTTTTTCTGCTAAAGAGAAACATACTGCCATGAGCACAATGTAAGGTTACAGTGTTGTTCGCTTTCCCGTTACGATCGGGTGTGTGTTACAGCTAAAAATTCACCCTTCAGTGGTACACAAAAACGAATTCTTGAGTTGACTTGACTTGACTTGACAATGCTCTTAGATTTCTGTCTGTCCTGACGCACTGGTGGCACCACTGGACAGCACACCAATTTACTCATAGGTGCAACTATTGCCCTGACATTCAGATAATTGCTAGTTGTACAAATTGATCATGCCTGCGATTGTATTTCCCATGTACACCCGAGAATATACGGTCATTTATTTCTTTAGTTATATTTGCATGAACTATGTGAATGTCTGTAAATATCAACGAACTAAAGGTTCGGAGTGCACTCCCTCTTTTTGGCTACAGAAATGCAGTCGCCTATGGTGTTGGGGATCACTTTCTGCAATTTCTCGAACAAAATCTGCCTGCATTCTTTCACAATGTTCTCTTCTATTTCAACTATTTTGTTGGGTCTCGTCCTATATACTCTGCGCTTTAAGTATCCCCACATGAGAAAGTCCATGGGAGTCAAATCCGATGTCCGCGCAGGCCATTCCATCGGTCCACCGCGGCCGTTCCAATGTCCACCGTATGTATCTTTCAGGCAGGCACGAACCGATTGCGCCGAATGTTCTGGTGCTCCATTCTGCTGCCAGCAAACGTTGTTCCTTAACTCCTCCGACGGCAGCAGCCGAATGACGCTGCTCTGCAACATTTCCATGTACGAGGATGGTAAGAAATGTCAGACAGCATTACTGTTAAAGAACGTCCTACCGGACACACTCCTTGAAAAGAAAGAGACCCAATGATTTTCGATCAGTCAACTCAGCCCAGGCCATGAGCTTCCCGCTTTGTTGTATACGTGAAATGCTACACTGCTGTGGGTTGGTTGTTGCCAAAACATCTTCCTTATATTGGCCATGCATGGGGCAAACAGCCTCATCCGTGGACAAAATAGAATACACATTCAGACTGTTTAAAAACGAACGGGCGAATTCCAGGTGCTTTGTGAATCGCACGCGTTCAACACTTGCACTTGCAGAGCATTGTACCGTCGGAATATTTTTCCAATATGCTGTGCACAGCATACGGTGTGGTTTCGCAATATTCTGTGAGTTGCCGAATGCTGAGATGGCCGTCACTGCATATCTGCGCAACCGCGCAAGCTGATATTTCATCCGTGACGGTGTTTGGCCGTCCGGTTTAATTCATGTCGCAAACGCTGCCAATTTTGGTAACTTTCTGCACCACTCGACGCACCTATGCCTCGTTAATGGGCCGCGTAAGGCGGTGCATACTATTATAGCGCCTTGCGTTTTCCGCCGCATTAAACCTACACTCACCCTACAGCTGCCCAATGACCCCGCGCTGATGGACCGGCAAATTTCGTGTATGCGGTTGATGACACATTGACGACACGGGGGTAAGCTCGTTCTCAATTTCTAGTACAGCAAACCACTAACCACCTCGCAGGGAACCCATTTTTCTAGCAATTCACCTACCTGAATGTTGACTACCGATCGATCGAAGCAATACACGTTTAGTGCGTCTATATGGTGTCTGGCTAACGTCCTGTTCTCACAGCCCAACGGCTTGCGTTCAGGTGGTCTTGCCCTGCGGTCCATGCATGACGCAATCATTGCGGCTGTGATGTTTGCTAACGCTCCCCTCTCACAGCCGAACGGCTCGGTGTACCCTGCAATCGTAAGCACATATGTCGCGTCTCTGTGTCCCATCTCACCCCTGCCAGCAGAGCAAGTTGCGTCATTGGACAGTTAGCAATTCAGTGTACGGGTGTACGTCAGCACCCGAGTGCAGCTGTTCCTAACTGCGGACCAGATGAATAAAACACCCAGTAGACAGAACAGCTTCCGGGCGGAATGACAAGTACACCAATTTAAGGCCAAGGAACGAATCGGGTCGATGCATGGTTGCAAAATCGCAAATTTCTTTTAGACCGTCAGCATTTTTACTTTCCCCCGCATCCTGCAAGTGCACACATACACCGAAACAGACAGCGCACTGCATTTATTCTTAGGAAAAGGATTCGATTACAAGTGACTGCAGTCGTGGTATCAGAGGTAGTGGTAGCTGATGGACCGCCGCTTACCAAAAAAGAGGTAGGGTGTATAGATGTCCGGTGACCGGATGTATGTTTATATAGATTAGGGGAAGAAGTGGAGCAACAAGTCGGTTCGATATTTTGGCGTTAAGGTTACTTCGGTATGTGCAACTTTTGCTACTATGTTGGTTGACGCGAAGCAGCGGATATGAAGTCGTGTTCCACATGTTATTGCAGTGTTATAAATGTAAATCTATAAATGTTATATTCCTCGGTGTTTCGAGGTGCAGTCCAACTATGTGGTCTGATCAATGTGTACAACAGGATCGCAAAATAATAATCAATTTGTTCACGCTTTTTACAATGGATCCAAAACAGGTACTAAACTAATTGGCAGGATTAAGGCATTAAAGAAATTAAAAAGCAGGAACAATAACGTAAGCAGATTTAAACAGATGTCCAGTTAAAGTAATACGGCCACTCGTGGAACCATCCCCAGGGGACCTGCTTCCATGCAAGATATTCCCTCGAAAGGTTTCGCTCGCACTTCCATGCAATAACTGTCCGTGTGCCGGTGTGGCATTGTAGCATATGAGCCATCACCTGTATATCATTTGTTTTGTTCATTTTAGAGCTGCTTTTGGACATGTATTATGGGCCATGAAGGCTCAGCCCAGTCCGTCATGCGGATCATTCTATTATGGCACTTATTTATACGCCAGACAGTTGGTGGCAATTTGCCTTGCATAGGTAACGTCTTTTATAATCTGGAAGCTGTAATCCGTCACCACAGGAGATCAGCCCATTCGTGGCCAACTATGAAATAAGGAAGAATATAGAAAAGAAGAATTATATGAAAGGGGTATTATATCGTAAATGTAAAAAATAGGCAGGTATGTTTTGTACATCGGCGTAGAAATCGATCGAGTCGATCATACGATAAATTGTGTAATGTGACAGCCGGAGACAGATGACTGTACGAGTTGTCCATAGGCAAAAGTCGCATAGGGAATCAGTTATTGCCATCACTGAATTCAAGTATATGTTTCTGGACTGTTAACTTCAGAAAAGAGGGGGAAATGATTAGCACTGGAGAACAAATGTAGCGAAAGGGGTCGCAGAACAATATTAC